ATATATTATAGTACATATTTAAATTAATCATAAGAGCTAGGATCAACCATAAATAAAATATACAAATATATGATAACAAATTTGTGTCATTTTAATCCAATAACATTTTTTTTTTCACAAAAATTACTTAATTTAATTAAATCTTTACTTAAAAATGTTATTTCTTTCAAATCTTTATCTTCAATTAATTCTCCTGCAAAAAAAATCTGTTATTGTGCTTAAAAATAAAATATGGGTTACTATAATTCAGATAATATACTCTAGCCCCAAAGTATTAATTTCAATATTTAAACAATACAGGAAAAAAGTAATAAAAATATAATAAAAAAATTCAAATAAATTAAATGTATACATACTTATTTCTAACATTGAATGAGATGACATAACATTTTCTTTGTCTAATGCTTGCAAAGTTAGACTTTGTGTTCTCATAATTTTCCTTAATAAATCACAAATGGCATGCAATCTATTGAGAATGATAACTTGAGTTTGAACTTTAACGAATAAATCTATAATTTTACACTTTAATAGTTCAATTGATGATTGCAAGTTCTAAAAATAAAAAATTAAACATTTTACTTTCTTCTAATACTTGTATATAATCATTAATCAACATTATCATCATCATTATTATTAAGTATTTGTGTAAACACTAAACAAGTATAATATTTTACTATACATAATTGTTAGCATAAATTATTTTTAATTAACTTTATACAACTTATTCAACTAAATAGTCAATTTTTTTATTAGTTTATGTCCAAATTGTGTTATTTAATCTGAAAATTTATTTCACTAAACATAATATGAAGGCAATTAAAAAAACTATAAATTATTTGAACAGTTAAAATATTTTAACTGGTTAAATAATAAATTTATTTATTGTTGAGTACCATTTATTTTTTATTAATAGTATATTATAATAATATAATTAATAAAGAATTAGAAATTAACAGGTGCAATAAAAAAAGTTCTTTAAGGGATCGCCTTGTGTGTCTGTAATGAGAGACATTATTTAAGCAATATACAATTTGTTTGCTACCATCCATACCATTTCGTCTTAGTCCTCACTGATAATTAGTGTGAATGAGATTGTATGCAAGTACAAGCCGATTGAAGCATGACCAAGCGCAACTACTGAGCAATCACAACAATGGACAGAACAGAGGACACAGAAGGAAAACACAACAGGTTCAATCAGATACTAAATAATTTTTAAGTAWCATTTAGACAAATTGATTTTAAGTTAAACCTTCAAAAATAATAATTTTTAGTAAAATGTAATGAGTGACTTTAAGATTATTATTGTTTTTTTTTTTCATGTAAGGTGCTATGTCTAAGAGTAGGCCCAAAAGCCTAGTACGGGCACCTATTCGGCAGAATTTTTAATTAGACGCCCATAGATTTCTGCCATGTCCAGTCAGAGGATGATGGTCTCACCCCCTAAACAGTTGCCTGTCCAGAGAGAGATGTTGCCCAGAACCGGGATTCAAACTGATTATTTATGTAACATAGAATATGATTTTTCATGAATGTGTTTTGTTTAAGTAGCACGCAGTGGCGACGTGAATTATTTTATTTCATGAGGCAAAAGTACCTAATAAATCCATATCTCGATAATGTAACAAAGATTACCTAATATTTACCCTAGTATGTTTGTGGTATGTGATTATGTGACTATATGAGTGTAAATTATAAACTAGCCCTATAGGTCCTGGAGTCATTGGGATACCCACCCTCACTTTTGTATAAGGCGGCCGCCTCATAAAATAGCTATTCGCGCCGCCACTGGTAGCACGTGGGTCAAAGAGAGAGGGACAACCAATAGTGTACTAAATAATGATATTCTGTTAATATGTATAATATATTACTAGCTGCATAACCCAACATTTTATGATAAATGAAGAAATATACAAGTGTATCTAGGTTTTAGAATATCTTAGTTCAAAGGCAATTTGTTGTCAGTGTACAAATTTTCTTCACTTTATGAAATAATTTGACTTATATAGTCAACCTGAGACTTAGTACTTGGTATATTTTTTAATATGGTTCAAACTACTTTCAATACTTTTCTAATATCTCTAGAAATGTTCTTTAAAACCAGTCAAGTCTTTCTTTAGTTTATAAGCTACAAGTATAAATTTGGTTTTAAGATATAATTTCTTTATTCAAGAGGCCATAAATTCAAAAATCCATTGCTTTTAACTCATCTGTCCGAGTGGTTAGGCCATTGGTGGCAATCATTAGTAAACAAAAACATTTTTTCATTATCCATGATAAATCTAAAAGTACTTGTGCGAGCACCTTTCTAACAAGCAAATTTTGTAATATTTTTATGCTAAATTGTGGTAMAATAGTACTGTCAAGTCTCTAGCTATCATAATTTATGCTCTACTTTGATCAGTCAGTCCACATTTATTTATAAAATATATAGATTTAATTAAACTCTAGTGCAAAACATATAAGAATTTAATCATTTTAATGGATAAATGACTATGTATTTACCTGGATTTGCGACGATATTTCATTTATAATAGATTCTAAATTTTCTGTCCAAGTCACTTGGTTAAATAATTCTTCATGGTTATCATAAGTCTGATCACTTATAAGCTGGTCTACATATTCTAATCCTAAAATTTAATTTATTAGGTTGATTGTTCAGTGATTATTATATAAAAACCTAATAATAGTAATAAAAATATAAATGGTATATAAGTTATTTTTTACCTCTATTCAATTTTTTCAACTGTTCTTCTGCAGTAAGCTGTACAACATGATTCTTAGATTTATTTTCACTATTAATTGATACAAAATGAGAGAGATAATCTAGAAAATAAATCATATGTATGTTATTTAAATATTTAATATTTCGACAGATGATAAATTGTACAACCAATCAAAATAATACCCTTCTAATAAACAACTATGTATGTTATTTAAATATTTTTAAATGTTAAAAATAGTTTATAAATTATAGGTGATAAAAAAATTATACATATATTTATAAGCTCAAAATAAATAAAAACAGTAAGTAGGTATAGTATTTTAAACTTAATAATCAATCTGTGACCAGAAAGTAATTGCCGATTTACAATTACCAATTATCTAACAAATAAAGTAACAATTTAGCGATAATTCCTACAAATCTTCAACAAATTTAATAATTATTATTTTTCTAATATTATTTTATTCGATCTTTATTTCGACCAATTTTTTTTACATTATTTTAGTTCTATTGAATAAGTGACAGTYTAAATAAATAGAACATCTTGATACAAAAAAAAATTGAATTATATTGGACAAATTTCAAAAACAATTTACTAAACAAATCTAAAAAAAAATTAACTTTTTTGAAATTTTTTTTAAACTTACCATCTTCTAATATTTTTAGTGTATTGGGAACATCAGAAATATTTGGTATAGCCATTTCATAGATAGTTAAATTGTCAATCATAAAACCATCGAAAAATAAATTAATACATTTTTATACTTAAAAAATTACTCATAAAAACTTAATGATTCAATTTCTAAATACGTGTCGTTATCAAGCAGCTACTASAATCAGTTGAACTCACAAGACATAAATAAGTGATAACCACTGTCAATGAGATTGGGGGACTTGTCCCGAAATTTCATGGATGAAAAAAAAGATTTATTAATGATTTATCATAGTAATTATAGCTTATCRCTAGTAAATAGTGATATCTAGATACCAGAATATTCATTCATAGTTCATACCACAGAACATACGACTATACGACAGTAAAACAATTATAATTAATAATTATTAATTATTTTATTATAATTTATAATGATTTAAGACGATATAGAAAAGATACTTCTGTACATCAATAGTAGTAATATATTAATATAATGTTTTTAAACTATAATTGTAATCATATAGGTTAATATTAATGTTACTTATTAGTAGTTATTACTCGATAGCTTTTTTAGTTAGGTTTATCATATTATTCATAATATTATACAAATGCCATTTATAAAAAATAAATAATTAAATAATTAAAAAATAATTATGCATTAGACAGTTGTAGTATCGTATAATATAGAATATATTATGAAATAATTTCATATATTCTGTAGTAGCTAGTATTTTATGCACTAACCTTTATGGAATCAATACAATTAGCGCAATTATAAATTTCTTACACGGACTAGAAAGTAGAAAAAATAAAAAATAAAATGGGCTGGAAACATTTCGAAGATTTTATATTATTTGTTCGTAGTTCGGACATTTATAAATGTTTCATGACAAAATTTTTAATTATGTGGAATGCAATGAATTTACTGATTTTACAATGTTTATTTATTTATTAATTTTTGTTTGAAAACACATTATAAAAGAAAAATATTTTAATTTTCAGAATAACTCAAAAGAGTACATGTTATTATGATCAGTGGTGGATTGTGGCTTGGATGACGGGGCGATCGTACACCCCTACCTACTAACATTAATGAAAAGAAGAAAATTGATTGAATATTCTTAATTCTAATTTTAGATTCTGAACGAAGTGAGGATTGTATTGATTTTACAATGATGTATTTTTTTGTGTCCGTCATCACGTTTTGGAGTAGAAATAATACTTTGATTTTTGATTTGAGTCCTTTTTTAAAAAGGAAAATTCATCTAACTGGTAAATTGCCAATAGTTTTCAAAAGCGTAAACTACTAAACTTACTAAAAAAGTAACGAAAATTTATACGCATATTCAGATTTCGATTTTTTTTTTTTGCTGTAACACCAAAAACAAATCATTGTAAATAATGTAAATATTTGAAATTTTCACCAAATGTTTATATTAGCGTAATCTATTTATGATTAAATTTTAAAATTATTTTGATTATTTTGAAGCTATTTATAGAGAGTTAAAATGTTCGATTTTTCTAAGTTTTTTATTGAAATGTCCATAAAAAAAATTTGGCTATCCAAAAATATTTAATACAAGGCTTAGTATAAATTGTACTTGTCGTAGTAAAAAAAAATCAAAAATCGTTAGACACAATTTTTGTTTATAAATTCAAATTTTTACGAAATATGTCAGAATCGCAAAAATTCGCATGGAATTATGGAGTTGAAAATTCATAAAATAAATTGTTGTGATTTATACTAAAGTTTAAAAAATCCAACATAACATTTTGCATAATTTTTTCTTCAAATAACTGTAAAAAATTAATTGTGTATAGAAAGTATTTACATCAATAGATGCTCTATTAAAAATGTCAATATTTTTTAAAATAATGATTGTTGTTTGATAAAATAACGAAACCATAAATATTTATTAGAAATATTGAAATCTCCAAGTTTTGTGTTTGATTTTTAAGATCATACAAATTTGATTTTGACAATCTGTCACTATTCCTCGTAACTATCGTCTAATAATTATATTTTTACCAATTGGCAATGTCCAATAAGTCTTGCAATTTGTACGTCGTAATTAGCTAAAAAATGTTATTGTTAACTAATAAGTTAATACGCATTCTTGTAAATTGTTAAGAATTCTTAAAATATTTTTAACAAATAAAAAAATACAAAAAATAAACACATTTAGAATAGGTATGTGTTCGAATGTTTTTTCAATAGTTTTCGAATAAAAAAATTATTTGAATACTTTAAACTTTTATTTAACACATATTGTGTTCGAATACTTTACAAGACTGCTAATCAGATTATATAAAATAGTTTATAAAACATGAGTAGTACCTAATCATAAATGTAATTCATCACTAATATTTTATAAATTGTATTACCTACTAGCTACTAACTATAGTTACCTAAGTAATTAATAATAATGTATCTGCCTTACTAATTCTTTGTTGAACAGATTTTATCCAAAAATAATATTTAGTATCTATAAATTTATTATGTATATGTGCATCAAATTATAGAGACTTAAGTCCATCAATACTATGTAGAAATAATATGTATACCATTGAATAAAGATTATACTGATTAAGAAAGAAAGAGATATCTTTAGACTTCAGTCTATGACCTAATATGTGTAAGATCATCAAATAAATGGACTAATGCAATAGTGCAATCATATCATATACTAAAACGACAGAAAAGACCACAAGTATATTATTTATACAATATTAAAATAATTACCAGTTAAATAGTTATTTATCTTATCTTTCTCAAGAACGTAATATGTGATAATAATGTAATCTTTAATAATATTATATTATTATCACAACAAATAGGTTATGTTGAATTAAAGAGCGGGAATTTAACCGATAAGAGTACAAAAGATACGGATTAAACCATTTAGTTATTTGTCATGTTATTAGTTGTATACATTCAAGCAATAACCATGTTAAATTCATATTTATTAGTTTAATCGACATTGCGAGTTTTCGACTCTTTAATGTTATCGGCTTCGAGTATGGTGTTTATTGTATAATTATTGCGTGTGGAAGATCGTTTATTACAAGTAGTTGTTTTAATTAATAGTATGATTATGTAGGGACTTCAAGAGCAACCGTGTCAGATGTTGCCACTCTTGGATGCTTAATAGCATTACTACCAAAATATCGAACAATCGTATTTAATGCTGTTCATTGTTTCCTGGATTTAATCAGTGCAGTATTCATTTTACGCCCGTGGAATTATGGACACAATTAATTTTCTTAATTATATAGAAAAAAGACAACTCGGTTATGGCAGTAAGTTTTATTACTGTTTTCAGTAATTCATGTACCAATTTTTGTGTAATTGATCTCCATGTAAAATTAATAACAATATATATAAAAGATTAATCTTTTAAATGAATAAAAATTTGCCTAATTCATTTAAAAGTAATCATTTTTAAATACTTGTAGGTATTGACAACATTTGAATAATGTCACTGATAATCTGATAGCTGATGTGTATAGAATATAAATGATACTTTAATACAAATACAAAATTGAATAATCATAATAAAATTTTGAGGTTTAGAAGTTAAACAGGCTACGACTCATTAAATTTGAAAATAATGATAAATTATTATACTAGAAAAACAATTTGATTAAATAATTTTACAAAAAATATTTATTGATTTTCATAGTGTCATGATTTTGTTGATGAATAATATGTTAGTTTGTATTTTTTCATTTTTTCTTACTATTATGAAATTTATAAAAATGTATACCTTTCTTAAGCACAGTCAGTTTAATTTATAGACAGTTTATATAGATTAAAAAAATGAATACCTCAAATACTAAAAATCCTACTGTAAAATCAACAATGTTTCATCTTTGGATTCTTACCTACTAACAAATTCTTACTTTATTATAATTTTGTTGCTTTTTAATTGAATTAATTTTATTATTTATTTATTTAAAGGATTTAAAAGCAATTTGAATGATATGCTTATTGAACAAATGGGTTATGTACCTCAAACAAATGATAATACACACAATACAAATACTCATGTTGGAAATACTTTTGCTTGTAAGTTCAGTAGAAATAAAAATAATTTACACATAGTTGGTGTTTCAACTGAACATGGAGAAATAATTGTTCAAAATACTATTGGTCATTACAATGACCAAAATAAACAGTTTAAAAGAAGTAAGTTTAATAATGACCTACTTACCTTTTTTATATATCTTTAATTAGTTCAAGGTAGGTATCGATTATTTTGAAATCTAAATCTAAATTTAAAATAATTTTTATTTATTACACATTAATGACTTTTGGGGACAAATGCATGGAAATTATGCTCATTTTTATATTTCTTTTTTATTTCAAATTGTATTTTAAGTCATTGAATCAGAAACTGTAAAAATGATCGTCATGTATTTTTATCTGTGTAAATAAGTACTAATGATTGGAAATTATAGAAAAATTTTAATGAGGCTTGATACCAAAATTGGTTCTTATTTTTTTTCTTCATAATTTCCAAAACCAATAACAGTTTCATCCAGATTTATTCTTAAAAAAAAAAAATTAAAAATAAGCATGTATACTTAATGATATTTATGCCTATTTAATTTGTATTAGTTGTACCAAAAAATATATTGTACCTGAATATATGTAGGTACAATATTAAGTTTGCTACTTTACACTATCATGCTTATAATATAATATCATTATGTCTACAATTACATAATTGTCTTTATTGTAATTTTCTTAAAAATAGATGCTGTACATGACAATGCTATTTTTAACTTTGCGTGGGCTGAGCCACAAATGAAATTAATAACGGCCTGCGGAGACCAATCCTCAAAATTATGTAATTTAAGCCCTGATGGGGCACTTGATGAAGAAAGAGAATTTATTTATAATTCTTCTGTTAAAAGTGTGATGTTTTGTCCTGGATCTTCAGGTATGGAAAAAATAAATTTTATTTTTTACTAGATAAGGTAAATTTTATAATTTTTAAATGTAATGGTATTTTTTGACATACTTACATAATGTAATAATTATTTGATTTTCCTCTACAGAAGTTTGTTCTGTGACTAAATGTTGAGGTTATATATTTTTATATAAATTATAAATAATTATACAAAAATACTTGAGATTATGTCAAATTTATTATATAGATAGAAGTTAGATACATTAATATTATTATGATTTGTCTATTACCGGTTTATGTTTCAATATTTTCCCTGGATTTTAATGAAAATAATGGGAATTTTTAAAAAATTTTGTCTCATAAAGTACCTAAGTACCATTTTTATTCACTTTTCAGTTAATGAAAGTTGATGGATTTAAAAAGAATATTACTATCCAAAAAGATATACATGCCGGGATAGGCTGACAAGTTACTGAGTTAAATTTGGTAATTCATGTACAATTTGGGCAACCTTAATAAAATATGATCAAAAATATTTGAATACCCTTAATTTTAAAGAATGAAATATGTATAATAATAAATAATAAATAGGTATTAGGTCTTAATGAAAAATGGACTCTTAACTTTTTTAGGGCTGGTTAAAATCCTAAAATTCGGTTGGTTGATAGTGTTGATACATTTCCTATTAGCCGCTAAAAATATACTTTATTTAGTTTAAAACAACATAATTAATGTAGTGAACAGTGGCGTGGCGAACTTTATTAAGTTATAAGGCACAGTTATATTGTTAGACCCACCACCCACCCCACCCATCACAAAAAAAAATTTTAAAAATTTTTTAAGATAAAATATATTTATTAATTTAAATAATAATGCTTTTTTAACACATCAGATGATCTTTGAGGACACCCACCACCCTTAAATTGAGGCGCGTGCCTCAAATATAGTCCTTCATCACGCCACTGGTAGTGAATAAATAATTAAATTTAAAATTATTTATGTTATATTTAGATGTATTTTGTGGTGGATGCYAAGATGGTTCAATAAAAATCTGGGATGCACGTTTAAATAATGCTCAAAGAGTTTTGGAGTTTGAACATAATATACCTAATACACATGGTAAATAGTTATATTGTTTTTTGGTATTAAATGTTATGCAACAAAAATCTGAAAATTAATTCTTTTTTCATATTATCTTCATTGTTTTTTTTAACTATGATCCCTATTTAAATTTCAAAATATAAATTGCAAATTTCATACAAAAAGTATTAAATAATTTCTTTTTCTCTTCTATATTTTAGGAATTTATGGATCAATGTTAAAAAAAAAGAAATCAAGAAAAATATTTGGAATATCTTCTGTGATATTTAAAACTGATCGAACTGTTATATCGTGTTCTTCCATGGATCAGTTAGTTTAATTATTTAATTATATTATATTGAAATAGCAAGCATGAATTTAAAGTAAATGCCATAGAGATAGATATGAGAGCACATACTGGATACTATAAATCATGAACTAAAATATATATTTATATATATACTTAGTTTGTGCTAAAAATAGTCAGACGGTTAATATATTCTGGTCATACAGTGGTGGTGATAGCATCCATTATTGGACATAGCGATTATCAATGATTGTCAAATTGTACATCACTGATCGACTTTTATTTTTATACATTACGGATGTAGAGAGTATACATTCCATTAATAGTATTCTTATCTATCTCTTTGGTAAATATATAATTTATTCAGCAAAATAAATATATATATTTTTCTAGTGATATCAAACTATGGGATTTACGTAAAAGTTACCGCCAAGTAAATGGCAATACAGAACCTTTACCACTCATGAAATATTTTAATGAAATAGAAATTTCACCACGGAATAATGGTTATATTGATATAATAACAAATCCTCAATCTACTCTAATGTATGCAAGTTGTATAAATAATGTTATTTACTGTTATTCATTGGATTCTACAGAAACAAGTATTTAATTCAATTTAATATTATTAGTGCTTATAGGTTATTATTGATACTAATAATAATATGTCTATTTATTTTATCTGTCTGGCATTCATAAAAATTAAACCAGCATTGATTGTTGAGTTTGACATTATAAGATTTACAATTTTTTATACACTAAAAAATTATCTTATGCTTTTATTAGAAGACCTGTAGTATAATTGTTTATTTTAAATAGTGTAAAGTTAAATATATTTAATAGCTAATTATATTAGAAAATGTCACATCACACAATTTTTTTTCTCTCTCTGACCTTTAAATGAATGGCAAATTTTTGTTTAGCAGAATCAGTTATCAACCCTGTGTTGTTAACTTTTARTATTAGAATCAATTCACCTTTTATCAAACTTAAGTTAGAACATATATCCCTATATATGTTAGCTTTTTAACATTTTAATTTATGTAAAATTTATAAGCATTTTAAATTGTAACAATTTACACCCTCAAAATGAATATAAAAATTAAAATATCATTAAATAACCAACATAGAGACTCAGGTAATTGTCATAACTTAAAGTTGGATATAATGGGTGAATTCATTAATATTAAAAGTGATAACAGGGTTGTTTCTGCTAAAAACTAATGGGCCAAAGAAAGAAAATTAATAGTTTGCTAACATTACATAACAAAGTTTAAAATATCAAGTGTAGTATATTATTTTATCATCATATTTTCAGAGCCAATATGCCAGTACTCTGGTCATTTACATGAAACTGGGTACTCGAAAATTAKTATTAGTCACGATGGCCGTTATCTGTTCAGTGGTTGTATGGAAAAAATAGGCATAATATGGTTGACAAATTTTCCATACAATGAAAATCCAATGTTTAAAATAAAAGATAATTGTGATAAAAAATTATGTAAGAAGGAATTGAGTACTTCAGACTGGTGTGCAGATTCAACAAGTATTAAAGTGAGCTTTATTTTATTCTTTTAATTAATTCATTGGTACTTAAAAATGTATTATTTAGGCTGAAATAATAATATTTAATTTGGTGTGATTTTTATTTTTTGTAAGTGGTCTAATACAGCGGTTCCCAAACTTTTAGAATCGCGGAACCCTTAGGAAATAGTTTGTGTTTTGAGGAACCCTAATGTGTCTTTACTTCCAACTCAACCCCATTTTTTCTAAAAAAAAACAGTACTACAAAAAATGTTTCAGACATCACATACATCTGACGGAACCCTTGAGATAGTCCACGGAACCCTAGGGTTCCGCGGAACACACTTTGGGAAAYGCTGGTCTAATAAACTTWAACAATATGAACATATCATATTCAAAAAAACTAGTTTATTATCAAAATCTAATATGTATGTGATAATATATATTATATGTTGTATAATACAACTTGCATTTATACTTAATTTATATTATATAATTCTATTAAATTTATTTTAACAAAATAGAGTATAAATATGAAATTTTTAATCTGTGAAAATAATAGTATGTTCCAGCACTAATATTAACTAATTGATTGAAGATATATTTTTATGGTGGTTTTATAAAAGCGTGAGATAGTTTTAATTTAAATTAAATATTAATATGTATTAATTTTTCAAGTTGGTAACAAGTAGTGATTCAATGCCAATGGTGTGGTCAGTACTTACTCATGAACAAAAAAAATCTGAAGAATCTTCATTTTGCCGAACTTCATTTTATAAAAAAAAATTTTCAAAAAAAATGTGTACTGTTCCTATTAAATTTGAACCGGAACTCAAAGATAAATATAAAAAAGAAACAGGTAATTTTAACCAACTTCCAAATTAAGGCGTACTGTTGTACCAGTATACAAGTGTTACACTATTATAACTATTTATAATGCAATTAAAGCATAGTAATTAATATTTGAATTTTTTCTGAATAATAGAAGAAACCATGGAAAATTGGAATGAACAGTATCAAAACTTTGTTTCAAATGCAGAATATTTAAACGTGACTCCTAAAAAACCATGGGAAGTTTTATTTTGTACCAAGACTACATCTTCATTGTCCGCCAAAATATCATCTCAATCAGAAACAACATCTACACATTCTACACTCGTGGTTTCTAATCAAATCCCTGAAGTAGTTACACCAACTTCAAGTAAAAAAAGGAAAAAAAGTATTGTGTCCCCTAAAAGTTTAATTGACCAATATTTGGTGCCAAAGACTAAACGTGAAAAATTAGATACTGTTCATGAAATATAGTTGTTAAATAAAATAATAAAATAAACCCGCAGTTTATTTTATGTGGACTGACTATTATTATGTATGGGCAGAAATTTGTGTTAAAAAAATTATACTTTTTATTTTATCACATTATTTCTGATCTCAGTGATTATATATTAAATACTTTTTTATAAATAAGTTAAAGATATGTATGTCTTAAGTTTCCATATTCCTTATTATATATTTGTTTAGAAATATTAAAATTTAAAAGTTTAATTTTTATCATTTTAAGAATGTTATGTTAAGTGCATTTTATTGATATGTTTGTGTGAGCTTAGATTTGTTATAATATGGGAACAATTCTGTATAAATTTTTTAATTTAAAAAAGTCAATTATAAAGAGTGATTGGTCAAAAAACTACAATTCAGCTTATACAGTTATAAAGATAATTATTTTATAAATTGAAATTTATAAATTTAATAAATGTTTAATTTGTTTACTTTTTTAATACTCATCAAAATTCAAATTTAATCAGATAAATATGATGTTCATATAAATAAAATTTGATTATGAAATAATACTTAGTGATAATTAATCTTAATTCGTTTTCAATAGTTCAATAATAAATTATTCATGATTTATTTAGTTAATATTTATTCCTATTATTTTAAAATTTTTAATTTTTATTGTATTATATTTTACTGACAAATTCAATTGTTCAATGAAATTCATATTAGTTAAAAATTATATATAATCTTTATGATCTTTAGTTAATCATAGTTCTTTCCCCAGATTATAACTCATATGTAAAGATTTTTAATGATTTAAAATTTAAGTATATAAATAATCAATACCAAGGATTAGTCTGTACACCAAACTTTTGGAAACATTTTTGCGAGTTTTAAAACATGGAATACTTTTAATGTGTTGATACTTAAGAGGACGCATATGTTGTCTCCGTCTTACAAGTGCGTGCGTAACATACCAAATTTTATGCTCAGCAGATCACGTTTAGCTCCGTTAGTTTAAAATTTAGAGTAAATTGATCTCTTACAAAAATTAAAGGTAACATTATTATCGAGGGCATGACATAAGCCTTTTATTATATTTTAATTTTAAAGTGAGTTATGAGTATTTTGAGATATACAAACAATTTACAATTTTAAAATACACATAACTCACTTTAAAATTAAAATATAATAAAAAGCCTATGTCATGCCCTCGATAATAATGTTACCTTTAATTTTTGTAAGAGGTCAATTTACTCTAAATTTTAAACTAACGGAGCTAAACGTGATCTGCTGAGCATAAAATTTGTTATGTTACGCACTTGTAAGACGTAGACAACGTATTCGGGTGTAGCATCCTCTTAATAATTATCTAATTTCATAGGCCAGGTCTATCGCAATCCACCAATTGCTTGCTACTGTGTAGCATCACATTTTAGCGAGTACTGCCAGTACGTACCGAAAAGTGCTACATATATATTTTATTTATATAATATATTATTCATTATTTGTATACTTCGGCCATCGTTGGCTTTGTACAGTCATGCACATGCAAAATAATGGGCAGTGACATAATTTCCCCCAATATGAGTCGTAATTGTGGCACGCTACATGGGGGATGAGCAAAATTGGACGTGTTTTGGTCGAATAGCAGTATTGATCTTTTGTGGACTGGAGTATATAATTGTACAGCAATAATTGATTTTGTTGTCTTGCTTTATTGATCAATATAATACTCCTCTACCTATTGGCGTACCTGACAATGTTATAAGTAGCTAGCATTAATATAACAATCCCATGCCATTACTAGTTATAACTTCATTTTTACAGCCTATAATTTTGGTTTAAAATATGAACCTAAATACCAAAATCTGCAGTTCATGTTAGAAACATTAAATATCATATATGTTGTTCCCGTCTTACTAACTATGAATTGGAAAATTTAATATTCAAAGGAATTCACAGTTATAAAATGTTCATAACTTGCATCAATAATAAAATATCAAATAAAAAAATCTTTCAATGTCCCAGATTATAATTATAAACAATTTAATTTGATATTACATCAATTCACTATAATTAATAAAATAACAAGAGTAAAATAGATGCTTCTCAATACAAAATATGTTATATCATGCATTAGTGAGGTAGAGATAACATGCCAGTTTAATTTCTTCTTAATCTATACATAACACAAAAAAATTGTAATGATTTTACAATGTTTGTATGCTGAATCACAAAAAAAATTGATTAAATTTAATGGCTTTCTAAAATTCAAYAAATAAATCATGGGATTCTAAATCTTGTTTAATGGACCATTAACTTACTATTCATTCATTTAAATTGTTTGCAACCCATCATTAATATGTAAACAAGACTATTCATTTTCATAGTACAATATAATAATTTTTTTTTATATTCATAAAGAAATAAATTAGACATTATTTTTGTAAAATATTTATTAAAATAAAAGTTATTGTTTGAATAATGATTTGTAATCATAACAAAATATATTTGCCAAACACAATACCTAAAAATTAATTTCAATAATTTTTGTTTATTCTGATTTTTCACTTTGTATTAATTCTTCTTTGACCAAAACTTCTGGAATTTCATCTGAAACATTAAATAATTTAATTCCATCCAATACTGATAATATTATTTAAATGTGTTAGGTATTAAAGTTTGTTGAAAGTGGGTAATTTCTTTGTATATTATTCCAATGATTGAAAGAAAAAATAATATTAAGTATAATTTTAATTTTGAAAAAATATTGGAATTTATTCACTTCTTGACTGTTTATAGTAGGAAATCAATTATTATTATTATTTTTAGGATAATACTAATAAAATAAGTTTTTGAGAAGAAAAATTWATTTGGTAGGTACTATTCTTATAAAACAATGCAATAAATTGAAAATCCATCTCTTAGAAAAACTATTTAATAGAAAAGGAAATAAGTAAATCAAATATGAATTCAAAATTAAAATCAGGCTATTAGAACTGAGAAATTTTCTTTCACTTTTCTGACTTTCATAGCAACAGTAGTTGAAATTTATTTGATCACAAAATATTGCAATATGTAATTACGTATATACTATATGTACATTACGGATTTCCAAGAATCTTAGCCATAGTTATCTTAAGTAACATAAATCGTTAGAGGAACTCACACACACTAATGATCAGTAACACAGCATCTATATAGTATTATAACACATTGTATGATGTACATAGAATAATGCCTAAATCCGACTTCATTTATCACTCATCATATTTATTCAATTAGTGTGTAATACATTTTAAAATCTTGTAAACAAAAATTTAAAAAAATAACTTAAAGCATAACAAAATTAATTTTACCTGTGCAAATCTCACTTTTATCTTCTGGTTCATTCTCATTGATTTCTTTCTTAAATTTGTTCACGTCTAAAATAGTACAATCATTTAGTTTAATAATTTCTAATATTATTTAATATAGTGCTATCATAATAATCAACATAACGAGATCTTGTATCTATTAGAATTTTATACATGCAACTTTATAGATGCTACATAGGATTAATATACGATTCACCACTACAGTGACTGCTCCAAAAACATTATGTACAAAAATATTAAAGTTTTTTTCCTGTGATAAGAACATATTATTTATTTACAATATTTGTACAAACATAATTTAGTATGGCCAGCAAAAAGTGAAGAAACCAAGCTGCTAAAAGATGGTTACACACCTATCGCCAATATTTTACATATTCAGGGGTTCTACGTTTGTGAGCAGTTAAACTGGTAAATTTAACATTATTATAAGTAAATTGTTTACTCAAAATAAATTAACAAATGTAGTACATAGTAATGTATGTAAAACATACATTGTTACTTTCTCACAATAATACCCATTATGTTTATATTATTATTTTTAATTAAATTAATACATATTTTTCCAACATAAAAAACAATATAATACCATTTATCATTCATCTCAATTAAATATATTATTCTTGTAATATATTACCATACTTTGTAACCTTAGAATTATTAATATTAGATTATAGCACTAATAGTTATATTTTAATACCTGAGGTTATATACAGAACATTTTTATATCCAATTGTATACAAATACCAATTTTATAATAGGAACTCTTATTATAATAATAATWAATTTATTATTATTAATAATAATAGCATCCATTCAAATGAGAAATATTATTTGTAGTTAAATTTCATATTCACCAAGTGTTTTAAGAGGATTACAGACACATATTTGTTGTCTCCATCTTACAAGTGTAWRACATAACAAATTTACGATTAGCAGATCATGTTTAGCTTTTTAGCTTAAGAATTAGAGTTGATTGACCAATTATGAAACTTGATGATAAGAACATTATCTGTGTTTCTATATGGGTTTTTTATGATATTTAAGTTTTTAAGTGAATTATGAGAATTTTTAATTTACGTTTTTTTAATACATGCATAACTTGTTAAAAAATTAAAGTATTGTAAAAAAACCCACATACAAACACAGAAAATGTTCTTACCATCATGTTTCATAATAGATCAATTTATTCTAATTTTTAAGCTAATGGAGCTAAACGTGATCTGCTAAGCGTAAATTCACAATGTCGAGGAGACGAGGACTTGTATGATGGATACAACAAATATGTTAGCAGCGTCCTCTTAAGATAATAATAATAATAATTAATAAATATTACCAAATTCTGAGACATCAACTCCAAGTAATCTCAAATAATGTAATCTACATTCGCCATTTACATAAGCTTTGAGAGTTGAAAACCCTTTCCAACCAACTAGCTCAATTGGAAAATCTTTGTCCACCAAGTTTAGAATACAACTACCAACACCTATTTAAAAAAGTTTTACCATTAAATAAAGTTGTATAACTAATAATAGAATAATTATAAAGTAATATACTACCAAAATTGTCTAGTATGTCTTTTGTGGCCTGGTCTAAAGAAGTAACTGGAATTGTTGGATTTTTCAGTACAGTTATCAACTCGGAACGGGTTAATTGTAATCTCCTTTTTTGTCCAATAAAGGAAGATATTCCAGCCAAACCCTTAAAAAATGTATTTTATTAATACAGTAATCTACATAATATAGAACATAATTTTAGCACAAGTATGGCTTATACAATACAATAATTAAGTCAGAT